CCGGAGCAATGGGAGGCCATAGGAACCGGCTGCCCATGGGCAGCAAACCCACTTGGTCCGGGCATCAAAGGCTCTGTCACTGCTGGAGCTGAGGGCACACCAGCTCCCAGCAGCAGGGCCATGACCTGCCCCGTGCTTTGTCAGCCAGGAGCAAGCGGGGGGCTCAGCCCCACAGCAGGAGGTGACCCCATGGAGCCCCCACATCGGCTTTCGTGGGGATGGAGCTTCCCAGCTTTTCCCTCACTGCTGCCACGGGGGCTGCTCAGCTGGGGCACTGCAGGAGCCCTGTCCCTGCCCAGGAAAGGAGCGGTCCTGCCCCTGGGAAGATGCAGCTCCAAGTGAGGCCAAAGGGAAGGCATCAGCTCAGGAAGTGAGCACAGGCACTGGGACAGCAACAGCGACGGAGCCCGGCCCCGGTTTTAGCGTGGGCAGAAACCTCCCCTCCCCAGCCCTGACTCCAAACACCTCCGTAACAGCCCAGGCAGCAGCAGACAGCAGCGAGAACCAGAAACAAAGCACCCCTAAACCCCCCCCCCGGTGTCAGAGCCGGGTTTGCCCCAGCGCCGGGGCTTTGCTCGTTTCCAGGCGGGGTGGATGGAGCTCTCCAGGCGGGATGCGCTCCCCGCAGCTCCAGCAGCAAACAGCCCTCACTGCCTCGCACGCAGCCTCCCGCACCCCTGCAAAGGCGGCAGGAAGAGGGAAGCAGCCCAGGGAGAAGCCGGGCTCTGCTGCCCCTTATCCCGTGGCCGGAGCAGGGAGGAGGCAGCGCTGAGTCAGGGCAGGGGAGAGCCGGAACCGGGACTTTGCGAAGGGAAAGCCCCGAGTTTTGGTTTCCATTCCTGCAGCGATGCCGTCAACAGCCACCGGGGGGGGGGGGGGGTTACCCCATGCAGCCCTCACTCGGCTGCAGCCCCCCCTATCCCCGAGGACAAGCTGGGACCGGGGAGGGCGCCCCATGAGGATGCTGGAGCATCCCCTGCCCTGGTAACCCCCCTAAAGCAGCCCACTGAAACCGGAGGAACCGGTCGGTCCTCGGCAGCAGCACAGGCAGGACCACGGCGCGGCTCTGCCTGCATCGCTGCCGGAGGGATGCAGCGGGAGCCTCCCCGGGTCTTTCCCAAACGCTGCCGGATGCTCCCGAGGGGAGAAACCGCATCCGGTCGTGTCCCCATCGCCGCAGAACCCAGGGAAAACAGGGACCGGGCACGAGGCATCCGCATCCCTTATGTAATGTGTGGATGTGAGTCCTGCAAACGGAGCAGCCCTGGCTCCCCCCGGGATGCTGCCCAGCCCCATGATGGGGAGGAAGGGGAAGCACGGCTGAGAACCCCTTGGAAGGGAGCTCCCATCAGCACCAGAGCGGCAGAGCGGGCACCAAGGGCCCCTGGCTCACACACCAGTTAACCCACTAGGATTTACCCCAATGCTCCACTTGTGGGGTGCCCGACCCCCCACTGCCGCTCTGGGAGCCCACCCCAGGTCCGTGGCAGCGCGGCCCCCTTGGGGATAACAGGGCTTGGGGGCTCCCCAACACAGAGCCCCAGCTCTCAGCGCTGCCGTCAGTGCCATGGGGTGACCCTCCCTCTGATGTGCAGGTGGGATGCGCTCGCCATGCTTCAGGAGTGATGCTTCATTCCCACTGCTGAAACCTGGGCTGGAGAACCAGGAGGCAGAGCAGGCAGGCACACCACGGGACATGGACCCTGGCCAGAGCACCTTGCAATGGTCCCATCCCTGCTGCATCCAGCCCAACGCCAGAGACCCACACAGTAACTGATTATCCCTACTGAGAGCTTGCTGCAGGTGACTTCCCCCTGCTTTTCCCTCTCAAGCCTCAGCCCTACAAGCACCCAGATGCCTCCATAGAGCAGGGAAGCAGCACAGCGCAGCCACTGCCAGGGCATCCCAGCACATCCCAGCCCGTCTCTGCAGGGATATGGGGCTTCCCTGAAAGCTGCTGCAAAGAGAGGGGAGGATTGCGCCAGCCCTAATCTGCCTGAGGAGCTTTTATTGCTTGGAGAACTGTTGACACCCCATGGGAGCCTTGCCTTGCAGGGCAAAGGACATCCATGCTGGGGAAGGGATCGATAGGCTCCAGAGCAGGTAAAGGGGCATGGAGCCAGGGAAGAGCTGCTGCCTGCTCTGCCCTGGCACTCACTGCCCACTGCCACAGCCCCAGCGCTGCGCACACCAACATGGGGATGCCACAAGCCTGAATTCATCCCCCTCTTAGATGCCCCCTCTCCAATACCCATAAAGAGGGGCCAGGAGACCCCTCCAGCCGTGTTCCCATCCAAACCTGGCCATCACCTCCCAACCCACAGCCCCTGGATAACCTGCATGGGTTTGTCCCATCCAGGCAGAGATGGCTGGTGCAGGATGCTCAGCCCACAGCTCTCAAGGGTGAACCAATGCATTAGTGCCTGGCACTGCTGGGGACAGCAGCCCTGTGACCCGAGGGATGCTCACACACCATCACAGCACAGGAATGGGGGGCTTTGGGGTAGAAATGCACCCCCAGCTCCAGCTCAGCACCGCTGCTTGCACTGGAGAGGCTCACGGTGACCACAACCCTTTATAGTTCCTTGGTCTAAGGCTGTCCCAGGTACAAAGATAAGAGGGAGAAAAGACACTGATACCTTAACAGCAGGGAGGGGAAAGCCTCTGTTTAGGCAGGGCTCCTCTTTAAGGGCTGCAAGTCCTGGGTTCAGGCTCAGCTGAAACAGAACCTAACACCTTAGAGAAACAGAACCTAACCAACACCTTAGAGAAACCAACCTCTTCCTCTCCTAAACACAGCCCGAGGAGGTGTTATCAGCACTGGGTGCAGCTGTGCCATGGAAAACCACCCTCTGGAGCCACTGCACACCCTGCCTGTGCTGGGGACACTCCAGGGACACCCCAGTCCCCCCAGAACATTCACCTCAGCTGAACATCCAAGCTAAAACTGGTGCTTTGCAACGGGACCCTATGGGCAGGATGGCAGCGGGGGCCTGGTGCTGAGTTTGCTGCTTGTGTTGGGGATGGAGGCACTAGGGAGTGCCACAGGCACCCAGTGAGGACCCCACCACTGACTGTTTTGGGATGCGGATGTCGGTGTAGGCACTGCTGTATGGAGGCTTCTTCCCAGGATGCTGCTGCATCAACCCACATTCACATCCCAGGCAAAGGGTGGAAAAGGAAACCTGAAGTGATCTGAGCATCCCTGAAGCAGAGCAGATGCAGAATCCCTAAACCCCAGCTCTTATAGAAGTACCTCCAGAAACACTCCGTGGCTGACAGCACCCACCATGGCCTGGGGATGCACAGGCTGGACCAGTGGCAGTCAGGCAGGATGGACAGAGACACCCTCCAGCTTCACCCAGCTCACCCCAGCATCCTTTCCAACTCCAGGCACCGCTCCCTTCACAACAGTCCTGTTCCTGATGCCCACGTCCATCCCAAAACCCATGGGAACAGAATGGAAGCCCTGAGGATGGTGGGACACTGGCACAGGCTGCCCCGTCCCTCAGCCATGATGATCTCCATGGGGCTGCTGCTCTGCCACGCTCCCGACCTTCCCAGCTCCTGAAATTAAAAGCTCCATCTGCAAAGAAAACCAAAATAAACCCCTTATTCCATGAAGACGTTTGGGAGGAAACCGCTCCCACTCAGACAGCACCAAAATCCCTTAAATTCATGTGTTTGTCAGCGTCTGTACCGGTGCCAAGGGGTTTTCTTCCTCTAGGAATGGTCCACTCCTAACACAAACTCTGCTCTTGTCTTCCTGTAACAAACCCAGCCTTTTCCCCCCCAATTCCATTCCTCCCAGTGCATCCCCAGGCCAGCTTCAGACCCAAACCCCACTCCTTATGGTTAACACAGCAATGCATCCCGACCCAGACACCCAAACACCGCGAGAGCATCACTGTGCCCTCACAGGATTTAGGGTATCCCATAAAGGATCCGGAGCATCCTTGCGCACATGGACAGCAATGAGTGCATTCTGTGCGCTCTGCCCTGCCCGGTGCCCCCGCTGCAGCCCCGGAACACACGGAACCAGCAATGCTCTCTTCAGAAAAGTATTTATTAGCTCACCAAAGCGACCTCTCATCGCTGCTGCCACCGGAGCGAGCGGGCACAGAGCCCGGCACAGAGCCCGGTACATCCAGCACCAGAGCCCGGCACATCCAGCACAGAGCCCGGCACATCCAGCACCAGAGCCCAGCACATCCAGCACAGAGCCCGGCACATCCAGCACCAGAGCCCGGCACATCCAGCACCAGAACCTGGTACAGAGCCCGGCACAGAGCCCGGCACATCCAGCACCAGAGCCCGGCACAGAGCCCGGCACATCCAGCACCAGAGCCCGGCACAGAGCCCGGCACATCCAGCACCAGAGCCCGGCACAGAGCCCAGCACATCCAGCACCAGAGCCCGGCACAGAGCCCGGCACATCCAGCACCAGAGCCCGGCACAGAGCCCGGTACATCCAGCACCAGAGCCCGGTACAGAGCCCGGTACATCCAGCACCAGAGCCCGGCACAGAGCCCGGTACATCCAGCACCAGAGCCCGGCACATCCAGCACCAGAGCCCGGCACAGAGCCCGGTACATCCAGCACCAGAGCCCGGCACAGAGCCCGGTACATCCAGCACCAGAGCCCGGCACATCCAGCACCAGAGCCCGGCACAGAGCCCGGCACATCCAGCACCAGAGCCCGGCACATCCAGCACCAGAACCCAGCACAGAGCCCGGCACATCCAGCACCAGAGCCCGGCACAGAGCCCGGCACATCCAGCACCAGAGCCCTGCCCATGGAGGCAGCGTGAGCATCACTGCAGCCGCCCGCAGGCCCTCGGATGGGGCCTTGAGACACGCAGCGGGTTAAAGGGTGGAAGGAGTCCCGGGGGATCGACCACCCCGCTCCACAATAGCTGCTCAAACCCAGCAGGGAGGGAACGGCAGCACCCGGCTCCCATGGGATGAGGCGCCCCAAAGAGATGCTGGGGAGCAGCCTGATCCTGCACTCTTTAAGTGCAAGGTCCCTGGAGCGCTGTTGAGCTCAGCTCCGCACATCCAACGTTTCCATCTCCCAGCACATCCTTCACAAAGGGTTTTGCTTAAAAACTGCTGTTTGCATTAAAAAAAATAAATCCCCGAGGATGGATTTTTAGAGAAAACAAGAAGAGACCCTAAATCCTCACAGGTTACAGCTCCCCCGGCTCTCGGGGTTCCTCTCCCTCCTTCCTTCCCCCAGCAGAGCTGGGCAATGCATCGTGACCACCATCACAAGCTCCCACTTGTTCCTGCCACCCCAAGCCAGCGTCACACGCAGAAGCCAAGCTCCCAGGGCTTGTGCCTATGCTGCCATGCACAGCCTCTTCCTGCTCCCGGCATCCCCTCTCCCTCCCTGCAGCCCTTAGGGATGGGGAGCAGCCTTTCCCTGACTCCCATCAGCCCGCAGCAGCCAGATCGGTGCCTGCTCAGTGCTTCGCCTGCTCCTTCTTCCACTACCTCCTTCCTCCTTGCCCTGCATCCCTGCTCCTCAATGGACACTGCTCCAGGTCTGCCTGCAGATGAGGCAGGGCTGATGAGCCAGAGCAGAAGAACTGTCAAAGAGAACAGGGGAGGAAAGCTTTATACAAAAGTAAGCTTTTGGTTTCTTTTCTCTCCTCCAAACAGGGCACTTCCACCTTCCCCTTCTCCAGGCATCTTTCCTCCCCCTCCTTCCCTCTGACCTGCCCCTGGTTACCGATGTTGAGTGCTCTGAGTCTCCTTCACCCCTGCCCCTCCTTACACCGCTCCTCGTCCCATAGCGCAGCCAGAGAGAAGGCAAGGTCCACCCAGAGCACGGCCAGCGTCCCTCCAGGCACGTCCCCCCCTTCACTTCTGCTCCGCCTCCTCAGCCACTGCGCTCACCTCGATGGTGGCGGCGGCGGGGTGCTCATCCCCGGTGGCCTCGGTGGCACCGGAGGGGACAGTCACGAGCGTGCTCCCGCTGGGAGCCACCTGAGTCACGTTCTGGATGGTGGTGCCGAGTCCCGGCAGCGTGAGCAGCTGGAAGGGGCTCACCACCTTCACCACCGTGCTGCCGTCCTGCACCGCGGCCGTGCTCAGCACCGTCAGGTTGGAAGCGTCCGGGTGGATCTCCACCGCGCCCGGGAAGGTGGAGCCGGCGGAGGCCAGCACCGTGTACCCCCCCAGCAGCGGGGAGGCCGGGGAGCTGGTGGCAGGAGGTTGGGCTGAGCTCTTCCCCAGCACCGGGGCTTGCAGGGTTGAGACCACTTTGCCGAGAGGGAGGTTGGTGAGCTGGGAGACCGGCACGCCGGGGGTGACGGCGAGCTGTGCCGGCTGCGGCAGCACCTGCGAGGTGATGGCAGCGGGGCCGGAGGTGGCTCGGGTCAGCCGGGGACGTTTTAAAGGCGTGGGGACAGAGACGGGGGTGAGGGTCATGAGGACGTTGTTGAGATGCTGCGCTTTGTGCTTCAGCTCCTTCGCTCGCTTGCGGTGCTCGTCGCACTGCTGCTCCAGAGCTGCAGAGGGAAGAGGGATCAGCGGCAGGGATACGGCACCGCCGGTCCCACCGCGGCTGGGTCACCACGCACCAGCTTTAACGCATCCTTTAGCACTTACCTGCTAAATCCCGGGTGTACTGCTCCCTCGAGCGATCCATCTGACACTTGTGGCTGGCCAGGACTTTCTTGACCAGATCCAGCATCCCAAAGTTCTGGACGACATTGTTGAGTAAAACAGCATCTTAAAAACAAGACAGAGACCTCGGAGTGAAGCAAAATTCCCCCGTGCAAATTAGTTCCAGCTTGGTAAAAAGCCACATAGAGTGAAGACATTCAGCTGAGGCAGCCGAAAGCTGATGGAGGGTAACACAAGAGGCTGGGGAAGGCATGAGAAAGTGCAAGAGGTCACTAGAGAATAAGCAGTCCTCCCCTGCTCAGCAGGGCTGATAAGGAATCTGCTGGCACAGGAGCTGCTTGCTGCATCATTAGTCTAAAGGCTTAAATTCCACCTCAGCTCCCAAGCCAAGCGCTTCTCCAGACCCAGACCCAGAGGATGGAATCCCCAGACACAGGGAACTGGAGAACTGAGGCCACCTGAAGCATCCCCAAGTGCAGCCAAGAGCCTGCTGGGGAGCAGCCACAAGTGGGATTTACTTATGATGAAAACCATGTCCCTGCAGTGCCAGCAGATATCCCAGAGGAGAAACCCCCCCCCAGGCCCCAGTCCAGGTCATGGCCAGGCCCTTACCACCCAGCTGCAGCGGTGGATCCTGTGCTCGTTGCTGCAAGCCCTTCATGGTCTCCACCAGCTCCTGGTGGAACTCCTGGATCACTTCTTCCAGCAGACCCGTGTCCTTCAGGCCTCGCCAGAAAGCAAAGGTGTCATCTGGAGAAAGAAAGCAAGGGAGACCCTCAAAATCCTCATAGGGTTTTAACAGTGATCCACTCTGGGTTCCCCTTCTGGCCCCACTACAGGGGAAGACCTGCTTGGCTGCAGGCACAGGGTACTGGGGCAAAGCCCAAGGAGGGGCAGCTGGGAAAGGACCTGCTTTCCCCATCCTCTGGCACACACAAAGAGGACCCTGATGCTACAAGAAGTGCTCAGAGAGCACCAGAGCAGCAAGAAGGATTTTATGACTCCTCTGATTTGATTTTCCTTTCCCCTAGAGCCACACCAAGCACTTGGCCTTTGCTTTGGCATCTTAGTGCTGAGGAACAACCTCATCCCAAGACAATGCCACAGTCACACCTCAACAGGCAGGATATAACACAGCAGTATGTGCCCGTAAGAAGCAACCAGATAATCCCAGTGGCTCCTCAAGCAGAGCTGCTCCAGCAAGAGGAATCCTGCGCCTCATCCCTGCTGTTTCCCTCTTTTCCTACGTCTCCATCCTCTGCAGTGCTGAGCCCAGCAGATCCCAAGCAGTACCTCCAATGCTGGTGCTCCAGTCGCTGGCATCCTCACATGTTTCTATGGTAATCGTAGCTGGGGATCCGTTCACTGCAACCAATAGCAAAAGAAGAGAAGAAAAAAACCCCAAATCCTGATTTTCCTGTGTTTCACGGGCTCTTTCCAAGGGGAGCATCCCCTCCCTCGCTCCTGTGACTTCTCCTTTTCATTTCTGTTTGAGCAGAGCTCTCAGAGCTGAATGAGGCATGCACGGTTGCTGTGCCAGCACCAGTTATTCTTTCCACACTGGAGTGCACCACCCCAGGGGCTACTTCTGCAACCCCTGCACAAGAACACATGCCCATGAGCAGCACTTCCCTCCCATTCCTTGCACACACACAGGAACTGCTTAGGGCAAAAGTCAAACAGATTTAGACTCCATTCCTTTTGGCTATCCTTTTGCTCTACTGTTTGTAGGACTGGGATGGCTGGAGGGTTCCTAAAGCCTGCAAGGGGAGAGCACCCTCCCATGGGATGCAGGGGGGCTCCCTCCCTCCCTCCAGCTCTGCCAAATCTCAGGGATTTTGTTACCATAGAGCCAAGGGAACCAGCGTCATTCGAGCCGTGGCAGAAGCAGGATGAATGGGAATGTGGCCAGAGACCCACAGTGCTGCACAGAGAGTTTAATGCTCAGCCGCTGCCATTAAACCCAATTACTCTGCTCCTTTACCCTGCAGCCTTCAGGGCTCTGGTTATTCCAGCACAGCCCAGCAGCCTGGGAAGCATCTCCCCTTTAGCAAGCGGATGTCCATGTCTAAGAGGAGGCTTGGACAGGCTGCATCATGCATCAGCACCAGCATCCGTGGTCCCAAGGGGCTCACTCTGTCCTTGCTCTCCTCCCAGACACCATCAGGAGCACGGGATGTGGGGCTCAGAAGCAACAGGAGTTAAGAAACACAGAAGCACTTAGAAATCAGAAAGCTTTCCAATAATAAAGCTGCCTGTAATTATAGGTAAAATTAAATTTAGGTCTACAGCTGCGCAGCCACAACAGCATTTAAATCCAGTTTTATGAACTGCATGGATGAGTGTAGATTGAAATAAGACTCTATTGTACCCCCTAGTTCTCTTTAATCTCTCATCAGACAAAGCAGCCCTAAATGAAAACCTCTAAATCGTTCCAGAAGTCAAGTTACTGGTGGAAGGAGGAGGGACTCCTGCTCTGGCACCCTGCATGGCAGGGGAAGCCAAGCTGATCCCTGCTTCCCGGGATGAGCCCTATGGACACAGCTCCAAGGAAAGGGAACTTCATGGAGCAACCACTATTGCTCTCTGACAGACTAACTGCAGTCTTCTCTGCTTCAGTTACACAGTTAGGGGTAAGGCAGGACAGCCCTTCGGACCATGCAGTGATACAGAGCAACTAGGTGAGTTACTGCATCCCTGCTGAGATGCTCTAACAACGGCTCTGCTATGGGGAATCCTGCAACAGAGCAGGGAGAGGAAGCAGAGGATGAAACAACCCACAAAGCCAGGAAGAGGCAACAGCATGGGCACTTGGTTAGGCAGCATTTTTGTGCTTTAGTGCTTCAGTGCCCCTGTTTTGGGGGTGAGGAATGGCTGGACGTACCATCCGCAGAGGCGGGGGTGAGAGGGATGTACTCAGTCGATGTCTGGCTGGTCAAGGACACCCTGGCTCCAGTCAGGTCGATTTTGGTGCTGCGACACGTGTTGGAACAGACCTTTGTGTGCTGGTAGAAATCCAGCTCTCCTGAGTCCATGATCTTCCTGAAAGACAGGGAGCAAGCACAGGGACAGGCACATCAGCAGGAGCAGAGAGCTCCGAGATGCAGCTCCTGGCAGCCTTCACCCCCAGACTTCTCCAAGTTCAAGCCAGGAGAGCAGGCAGAGGCAACAGAGTGAATTTCCCTTGCTGGGACTGGTGAGCTCCTGGCTTGTTGAGGGATGAAGAAAAGAAGGTCCCAGGCTGGTTCCACCAGCACCTTCCCCCTGTGCACACCTGCAGCTTCCAGCAGAAGGCTGGCTGAGGTCTCAGCTCAGGGTGAGACAGCACAAAGCCTCCTCCTTCCCTTTCTGACTCAAAAAAGAGATGGGGCATAACCCTATTTATAAGCTCAAACAAGGCCTCTCAGCTTAAGCAGAGGAGGTTGCGACATCAGTGTATGGCATCTTCCCAGTAAGCATGTTGTCTCCAAAGCATCCCCAGGCCTTGCCAGCCAACAACAACCTGAGCTTCCCAAGGTTTGCTCTCATGGGTTTGCCTCCACACATTCCTCATGAAGTTTTTCCCTTGAAAGACCTGCCTTGCTAAAGCATGCCTAAGCCTATTATGCAAAATCTACGTGGAGCAAAAGCTGCTTAGAAGGAATATGGGAGATGCCTGCATTGAAGCAGAAGAATGAAGGCGAAGGCAATGTCACCCTGTGAGATGAGTGCAAACCCACCAGCGGCTCCCAGGGAAAGAGGCGATGCTTTTGTACCCTGCTGCAGGCAGAGCCAGGCTTTAATTAAACCACAGTCTCAGGCTGGTGCTCATGAAGACCACAGAAGAATTAAATTACACCAGTTAAGACTAGAGAAGAGAAATGCTTGCATAAATAAGCTTTAAGTAATTCCTTGGTGCAGAAAAAAAGGGAAGCAACATGAAGCAGACATGCTACAAGGGGTGTGTTAGTGGATGCCCAACGGACTTCCTTTTGATGGGTGACATGGAGAACCTATGGACAGCACAGCCTAACCACCAGAGGCCATGAAAATCTTCGATGGGTTTATGCCAGCTGGGAACTTGATGTGGTTCAAGTCTTAAAAGGACTGGGGAAATGCTTCTTACCCCAAACCATTCCGTAGGCACAAGGATAAAGCAAAGCCATTGGACGGACCACACTTGGGGCCAGGCTGTTATTAAGACAAACATACAGCAGTGCATTTGCTCCCTCAGCAGCGAAACCGTGCCAAAGGCTCTGTTCTACCCCACCGTTATCCCCCAGGTAGAAGAAGCCTCCACTGTGCCCCTCTGTGGATACAAACCGGAGCATGATCCCATTCATCCGAATCGCCCGCTTCCAGTCCTTCAGGGTAGACTTGCCAGCCAAGTGGACAAACTCCTTGGGACTAATGAGGTGATCATCAAACTGCAAAGGGCAGAAGAGCAACATCAGTGTCACAAGCCATAAACCAGCCACAGTGCTGCCCTACGAGCATGAGTCCACAGGCTCGTGATGCTCCGATGGCATTTCCTGGTACCCAGCAGTGGGGTGCAGCCACATCACAGCCTCCACGTGCTGCTTAAGGAACACCACCAAACCAGACGGCTGACGCACACTTCCCCACCTTAGAGAGGGTTATTAAAGCCAAATACTGCTGTCATGGATGGCTGGCAAGCAGCTGCTCAAAGCCAAGGCTTTGGGAGGGTGTGGAGCAGAGGAATTTGCTGTGTGACCAAGCCCAGGCAGGAAAAACACCCCATAGCTTGTGCAAACTGCCATGAACAGCAGGCTCACAATGAAACCCAGGCTCTGGCTGGTGATATTTCAGTCCAGGAGCACTCTACACCCCACATGAGTGAAGGAAGGAGGAGCCCAAGTGGTCTTTGGCCTCCTGCTACCGCGCACAACCACCGCTATCAGGGAAACCTCTGGCCTCTCTCACAGCTCACACCCACTTCCACCGAAAACCAGCTGCAGGGAGTTGGCACCCACTGTATCAGCAGCCAGCTCTTCCCCTCCTTTTACTGCCCTACACACCCAGCTGGGACTGAACCCATGCGCTGCCCTAAAAGGCAACCTGCAGAACCATAGAACCCCATACTGGGAGGGACCTCAAGGATCATCTGGTCCAAGCTTCCTGACAAAGCATGATCTTAACTAGATGGCCCAGCAGCCTGTCCAGCTGAATCTTAAAAGGGTTCAACACTGGGAAGAATCAGTCCTCCAAAGAGCTGCTTTAAAGCCCATCTCAGAGGATTTCCCAAGTCCAGGCCTCCCCTTTTCAATGCTCATGTTGACCAGCATGGAGCTTACTCATCATTAGTAAATGAGAACCTGCTGCTCTGAACACATATATGGGTTTCAGTGCAGAGAGAAGAGTGATTTTAGGCAGCAGCAGCATTGGCTGCAGCAGGACTTGTCCTCTGCCTTGGGGATGGAAAAGACCATCTCTTATGAATGGCAAGGAGCTTTGGAAAGCCCTTTTGCAACAGAGCCCAGAAGAGATGCTCCCCCAGCAGGGTATTGTTTAGCCCATGTACACATGCCAGCAGGTCCTGAATTCATGCAGACCCAGGGCAGAGCAGAAGCTGTTCACTTGGCCCCTACCTATAAACTCCTCAGCTTTCAAACTGAGCAGACACTGCAAGTGCCCAATTTTCCCAATCTTTCCAATAATGCAGTTAAATTGAAGCCCCATCTCTCCAGGCAGGACTGCTCCACTGGGCTGAAGAGACAAATATCAGGTCCCACAGTACCAAAACGTCCTCCTTCCCCACCACGACACGATTCTCACCTGCACACACTTCACATTGATCCCTGGGCACACAAACTTCCTCCAGATGAGGTTGGCTTTGCTGTCCCCGCAGGTGATGGGGTAGACAATCTCTGCCTCCAAACTGTCCTCATCTTCAGCCATCTTCACTTCTCACAGGGAACAGAGGCCGGGACAGATCCAAACGAAACGTGAGTCACAGCCTCCCATTCACCACCCAACACATGCCATGGTAAAGCAGTTTGAAAGCTCAGCATTAAAAACCACACGTGTATTCAGTGCATGGTGGGGGGGTGATGGGGTTTGTGGCCACCACTCGCCTGCACTTGGCTACCAAAGCACCCAATCACTCCATTTCTCAGGTTAAACAGCCCAGGTGGATGTGGCTGCAGCTCACTGTGTGAAATGTGAGAAATGAGCAGCCAGGGCTGGGAAAAAGATCAGTTCCTGATAAAAGGAATTGGCTGTTTGGGCAATTACAAAGTCCCCCTTGGTTTTAAACTGTTTGGAGTCAACTCCAGCCCCGCTGGCAGCAGTCTTTGCTCACTAAATTCACTGGTAAGCAAACCCAGTGAGCCTGCTGCAAAGCTGAGATCCCCACCATGAACTGGATGTGCAGGAGCCAGCAGCACCAGCCAGGCTCAGGGACTCACCCTGCACCAGGAGAGGGCAGCAGCAGCCCAGCCAGCAGCTGCCAGCTCCTGCACCTCCTGAGCTGCCCTGGGTGCTGGGAGGAGCATCCCTGGTACCCCAAGAGAGCATCCTCAGCAGCTGGACCCTACCAGCAGCACCAGCACAGGGTTGTACCACGTTGGGGTGGTGGAGCTGGCACAGCTCAACCAAGGGGCTACAGCAGGGGCTGCACCTACCTAGGACTGCTTCCTTCAGATGCGTGGAGGCTGTAAAGGCGGCAGCAGCCGCAGCAGCTGCATTTTCAGTCTCCAATGTGTCTTCATTTATGTCACCACTGGTAAGAGAGTCAGAGAAGCAGAGTTCAGCCCCATGGAAATGCCACCCCCCATCAGTGCCCCATGGAGACACTGCTCCGAGCCACTCGTGCTGTGTTTTCCCATGAGCCTGAAGTCAGCTCTGGTTTTGAGAGGCTCAGCTCCAGTTTTCCATATGGAGATGAAGAGCCCTGGAGCAGGACCGCTGCCAGCAGCCCGGCCGGCTCTGCCTCGCCTCCCTTTTAACCCCAGCCCCAGCGAGCTGCCTCCAGTGCAGCAGGAGCTGCTGTGGAGGGATGCTCTCAGCACAGCCCCTTGCTCAGAAGTTGCTGCCAGCCCCTGGCAGCTCTGCTTGAGAAGATCTCCCCAGGACAAACATGTGTGAAACACGCTGCTGCTGCCAGGGCGATGGACTGCCTGAATCCCCTGGTACACGGGATGCTCCCAGAGCAGAACCCCAAAGAGCTGCCAATACACTACAAAGGAGGTTGACAAACCCTAAACCAGCAGATCCAAGAGCAGAGATAATGTGAGCTATAGACCCCCACGATCCAACCTCTGAGCCTCTTTCAACTCAATATACCCGATATACTGGATGTATAGTACGTGGCTATTAGAGCTGGGCTGGGTCAGCCTGCAGAAGAGAAGGCTCCTGAAGGGGAGACCTTAGAGCAGCTCCAGTGCCTAAAGGGGCTGCAGGAACCTGGAGAGGGGCTTGGGACAAGGGCCTGTAGGGAGAGGGCAAGGGGAACGGCTTGAACCTGCCCGAGGGGAGACTGAGCTGAGCTCTTAGGCAGAAGCTCTTCCCTGTGAGGGTGCTGAGGCGCTGGCACAGGGTGCCCAGAGAAGCTGTGGCTGCCCCATCCCTGGCAGTGCTCAAGGCCAGGTTGGACAGGGTTTGGTGCAACCTGCTCTAGTGGAAGGGGTCCCATGCTGATACCCATATGATCCAATCTGTGCATCACAGCCAGCTCTCAGCAGGGACCATTCCTGATCTGTTTTAAGATTTGGTTTTGCTATGGAAGATGTCCAATTACTGTAGCAAGCTTGTCCTGCACGGGTGGGGAGGAAGCAACAGTTAACTCTTCACATACTTCAGCACATAAACTTCCTAAGGAAGACTGTAAGGAGAAAACAAACCCGAAATCTACCCTGGTCTGGGGCATGAATTGAAAGATTGGACCTAGTGACTCACTGGCAACACGCTCCCCACCCGTGGTGCCACGGGGACAAGCAAATTCAGGAGCAACTGGTTTTTCCATCCTGGCCTCCTAACACACAGCTAGGGTGGAACTGCAGCTTCAGAGCACCCTTCCCTTGCCAGTTGCAGAGCAGGTACCTGGGGAGGAGCAGCACTGAGATGAGGGCATTGGTGCGGGCAGAGCTCAGCCTCCCTGGGTGAGTACCTCAGGAGATGCTGCCCCTGCCCAAACACACAGCCCCCGAGGAGGGAAAGGTGAGGGTATTTGCACATGGGTGAGTGTTAAAGGCAGCAATCTGACATGAGAAAAAGGGAAGAATTGTAACCTGGGTTCTCTTTGTCACTTTGCTGCATGGCTCTTGCATTTCTCCAAGTGCCTTTGGAGAAAAGCCAGCAGTTCCACTGCAGCAGGGTACCAAGAGGCAGCAGCCACATCTGATGTGCAAAGCCCTGCACCCCCTGGCTCTGATCTCCCACCAGATCTAAAACCTCCACTGACTTATCCAGAAAAACCCCAGCAGGAAGCCAGCACCTGAAATGGAGCTTCCTCCAGGACTCCATCACATCCACACCACTCCAGAAAGTAACCAAAAGGCATGACTGGATTGGGATAAATAACCCAGCCCACATGTGCCACCCCATCCTCCAGGGAGAAACAAGCTTCCACAGCTTGTATGAAAAGCAGCCTGTGTCTGCTATGGAGATGTAATTGGGTGGGGAAGAGAAAACCACAAAAGAAGGGTGAGTTTCTCCACCCTGCTCCCCCCATCCCATTCCAGAGGGACAGAGTGAGGCAGATGGAAGAGCAGGAGAAGACTCAAACACCTCCCAGGCCCCAGCAGTGCATCCCACCAAGCTGGTCCTGCCTTCGCCGGTTGCCATGACGAAGCCAGGGGAGGATGGCTCTCATCTTCCTCCCTGGGAGGATCCATCAGCCAGATGGAAGAGAAGAGAGCGTGTGCTGATAAAGCAGTGGGCTCGTCCCCTTTCTCCTCCACTCCTGCCTTGCCTGGAACCTTGAGAGAGAAAAACAAAGTCTCCACCAGAAACCTGCACTGGGAATGCTGATCAGGAGCACAAGCACCTCATCAGAGCCTCAAGGACAGCTCCCTTCCCATCGCAGATGAAAGAGAACAGCTTCTTGCTGGTTGTGACTGTTTTCCCACTCCCCTCTGCCTTTCCCAGTCAATCTTAAGAACACATGAACTAATTAAGCTCTTCACCACTGGTTGCATAATCTCTTGCTTTTAAATAGCTAAACCCTACCCAAAGCACTAGAAAGGAGGAGGCAGCCCCCAGGCTGAGCTGGGTTTCCAAGTACCACATAAGCCAAGTTGAAAGCCCTCTGCCCGTGTGAGCAGTGACTGAGCCAGAGCCGAGGAATCCCAGCCTGTGCTGGCAGCCACTTCTACACCAGCTGGGGCTGCAAAGAGGAAACAGAGGGAGAGGGAGGCAGTGTTGCTGTCCAAGGCTATGGAGAGGCCACTGGTGGCTCCTGCTGCCCCCCACCAGCCCCACAGCCCTGCTTTGCGAGGGGAGTCCCAGCAGGCAGGTTTTGCTTCATGAGCCCCAGATCCATGTCATTCCCATCAACCTGCTACTGTCCTGGAGCACGGGGGAGCAAGGAGCCTGCCCTTCTCCAGAGAGATGCATGGAAAAACCCAAGGGAATCTCTTAGAGCCTGCTAAGATACACTCCACTGTGCTGCAACTAAATAAAACTCATCCTCCCTCCACTGTGTAGGGCTGAATGGCTCCGAACCATGCAGGGGACATCCAGGAGAGGATGAGAAAAGGTTTCCAAAGAAAAACAGGAACAGAAAGGAAACCAAGCTGCTTGAGCCAGCCTCTGTGTTCCTGGCCAACACCGCACTGCTGCACATGGGTCTGCAAAGGCTTGGAGCCACATTAAAACCAGAAAGCATTCTGCATCCAAAGGCACATCCCAAGTTTCACATCTGGCTGCCTCTCCACTGAGGGAGCTAAGGGAGTTACCATGGGGCAGGCAGCAAGGAGTGGAGCCTTTCATCCCCACCATCCAAGGAGCATCAGTGAGAACCTAACACGGAACCAGAGACTGCCGAGGCATCACTGAGGTCCCCACTGTCAGAAGTGATGCAGGAGTAAGGAGCAGGGGATGAAACACACCCAGCCCTGCTCAGTACAACCAGGGTGGGAGGGTTCCCAGCCCGCCACCTCGGTGAACACCAGCTGTGTCTCTTACCCATGCTGGGACAGGTTGGTGGTGACCAGCACCGTCTTCACCTCCTCCACGCCGCCTCCATCCACCGCACCGTCGGGTGTTGTCACCACCACCACCTCCTCCATGTGAACACTGACATCCGGAGTTGCCATCACGAGGTCTCTGCCTGTGCAAACACCAAGGGAAGCACCATGTCAAGAGGTGTCCCTGCTAAAATCAGTCACGGAAGGACCATCAGTGTGGTGGGAGCAAGGGGAGAGGAGGCTGCAGGGAATCTGTGCTCTGAAAGAGAAGGGATTAGCAAATCCCCAACTGCTGCATCCCAAGAGGAGGGATGATGAGAGGCTTGTAATCCAGCACCCACTGCAGGCCGGGTGAGGGTGATGGGCACAGTAAGGGACCACACGTGGTGAGGGACAAAGTGTGGGAGCGGATGCGAAGCAAAAAGCTGGTCCCGGCCTTCACCAGCAGCTCTCTGAAGACACTCAGTTTGAAGGTGTGCTTCCAACTGTATTCCACACTGCCTTGGAAGGGTTTCAGGAGCTCATCGCTGCCTCCTCCATGGCAGAAACTGGGACTGTCCCCTCCTCCAAAGTCACACATACAGAAAGATCCAAACTCAAACACTTCAAGCCTGCACCACAACGGGACACCTGGAAACTAAACCAGCGCTAGATTTCAGTGCTTGAAGCCCTGAGCATCCTGTGCAGGAAGAACCTGGGTGGAAACCCCAAATCCTGGTTGACTGCAGGCACAAGGAGCAGGGCACCTTCCTGCGCTTATGGTTGTGCTCCATCCCCACTGCTGCAGCCTCCGCACCCGGAGCACAGCACAACACACGGGGGAAGCCCCGGTGCTCAGTGATGCCATCGCCCCCTGGGCCTGCTTCCCCAGGGATCCCAGGTGACTCCGGAAGGGAAAGCAGGTTTTAAGCCATTTAAGCAATAGGAGAGGGAAGAAAGGGACATAAATACCCTTTAGGAACACGTGCGTGTGTAAGCACCCTCCGAACGCCCCTGCTGTTGTTAACGTCAGGAGGACAGCACAATAAAATGAGCATAAAATTCAGTACTTAGAGCCATAAAACTTTGCGGGTCGGCTTCCGATGGTATCTTCAGCCCTCTTCCATGAGTGAACTATGCCTGCATTACCCCCTCACACCGCAGAGCACACGCATGCAGCCTTCCAGTATCTGAAGGGGGCATATAGGGATGCTGGGGATGGACTCTTCATTAGGGACTGTAGTGACAGGACAAGGGGTAATGGGTTAAAACTGAAACAGGGGGAGTTTAGATTGGATCTAAGGAGGAAATTCTTTCCTGTGAGGGTGGTGAGGCACTGGAATGGGTGCCCAGGGAGGTTGTGAATGCTCCATCCCTGGCAGTGTTCAAGGCCAGGTTGGATGAGGCCTTGGGTGAGATGGTTTAGAGTGAGGTGTCCCTGCCCATGGTAGGGGGTTGGAACTGGATCTTAAGGTCCTTTCCAACCCGAACTATTCTATGATTCTATGATTCTGTGCTCAGGTATGGAGAGGCAGGTGACCCCAACACATCTCCCATAGCACAAATACATCCCCCACAGCACCAGTGCAGCCCCGACAGAGACAGGGAGCCTTCAGCTCATCAAGTGCTCCCCATGGCCAGGTCTGGCCATCCACACACAAGAGTCCTTTGGCTCCCACCACCCTCCCCAGCCACCATCAGAGCCACGCAGGGACCCGATGCATCTGATGTGACTTTGCAACACAGTTCCTGCCTGCAGAGACTCCAGCCTGACCCCCAGGATGCTCTTCTCCTCCATGGAGGCCACAGGGTTTATCCCAACCAAGCTAAAGGCGAAGCAGCCAACAAGAGCTTTGGTGTCTGCAGGAGCAAGGAACGTGCTGGACTGAGGGCAAGGGGAGAGAAACCAAAGGATTTGCTACAAACCAGCATCTGAAGCACTGCAGGACCAGGCAGGGTGAAGGGCACAAACTGCTCCCAGTCCCCTTGCTCCTTGTACTGGGATAAAAGCCTGTGCTGGGAGCTGCAGATGCAGTTCAAGCACTGTGATTTTCCTTCCTGCTCCATCCCTACACCCATCTCCTTTTGGGATAAAACCCTTCCTGCAGCCATAGCATCACTCGCAATGGCCTCTATCCTGGTGCCTGGTTTCGGGATGCTCCAGGCATCCCACCAGCACCATGGGAAGGCTTCAACTGCCCAAGCACTCGCATGCCTCCAGGCAGGAACCAGTGCGGGGTGGCCTGAACAGGCTGGGAACACCAGCAATGACCAGCAGGGAGGGGGAACAGGGCAGAGAGCACCCGGCTCCCCCAGGGCTCTGCACCCCTCCTGGTGCACATCGGGCTCAGCGGCTGCAGGAGACCTTTGGGGTGGGGGGGGAGGAAGAGAGGATGGATTTTGGGGTGCGCTGTCAGTGGAGGAGGGCACGGGGGGGGCATGGCTGCATGGGGGTCACAAGAAGGAGATGGATGGGGAGAAGGGATGCAGGCTGCGTGCAAAACGGGGGGGAGCACAGGGGTGCGTGGGGAGGGGGCTCCACCGGAGTGCAGGGGGTGCACAGAAGACATAAGGGGTTGTAAGAGAGTGCACAGGAGTGCGGGGGGGGTGGGTTATGGGATGCACAGGGGGATGCAGAGACCGGGGGTGCAAGGTGGAGGGGGGGATGCCCAGACCAGGGATACAGGGGGGGATATAAACCTGGGGGGGGGGGGGGGTCTCTGGCACCCCGCTCGGTGCCGTAAGGACCGGACACGGCGTGGTCCCACCCCCACCCCCCCCCCACCGCGGCGGGTCGGCGCGCGCGCTCCCGGTCGCGAGGCAGGCGGGGGGGAAAGGGGGGGGAAAGAAGAGGGGTGCGGGGGGAGGTGGGGTGCGCGTGGGCGCGTTCACGCTGGCAGCGCCGGGAGCGCGGGAGGGAGGAGGAGGAGGAGGAGGAGGAGGAGGAGGAGGAGGAGGAGGGGAGGAGGGGGGGGGGGGCGGCCGGGCGCTGCCGCCGTCGTCTCCTGCCGCTGCCGTAACGTCCTGACGCTCCGCAGGGACCCGGCGGCCGGACGGCGCGTACGGAGGCCCCGCGGCGGGCGGCGCCAAGGCCCAGCGCTTACCTTGAGGCCGGCGTCCCGCGGGCCCCGCTGGCGGCTCCGGCCGCTCGGTGGGTGCGGGCCGGGCAGGGAGGGAGGCGGCGGGGTTGGGGTGCGAGGGGAAGGGGGGGGTGGGGGGGGAAGGGAAACCGGGCTCCGCCGCGCGCGACTCTCGGCCCCCCCCCACCTCCACGTGCGCATGCGCGCGGCCCGGCCCGACTCCCGGGACTTATTTGGCGGGGGCGCCGCGGCCCGCGCTCGCTGTGAAATAGGTACCGGGCCGGCGCCGTGCGCATGCGCGCGGACGGGGCGACGGTGTCCGCTGTCGGGGGGGGATGCCCCTCCGTGGGGGCTATGGGTGCTGCGCTGGGGATCCCCTGCGTGTCCCCCCCCCCTCCTCTCTGTGCGCATCCCCCGGTCCGTGCGTGCCCGCGGCTCTGGGGACCGCCGGGTCCGTGCGGGGCTGCTGTGGGCCGGACGTGCCCCGGGGGGTGCGCTCGGGTGTGGGTGCATCTGCGGAGCTTGGTGGGGGCCGCGTTGAAGGGAGCTTAAAGCCCATCCAGTTCCACGCCTTCCCCTAGAGCAGCGTGCTCCGAGCCCGTCTGCATGTGTGTGGATGGGGGGGGTTAGGGTTAGGGTTAGGGTTAGGTCCTGTCTGTGCTGCTGGGCACAGCGTGTTTTGGGGTGGCCGAGGGGTTTGTCCTCAGTGATGGGCACACGTCCTGGAGCTGCCAGGACCCACCCAGGTGACTTTCCATCCCTAAAGGGAGAGCTTCAGGCATCCGGATTCGCGCTGTTTGCAGCCCAGGATTGCAGCGCTGCTTTGGCTGGATTGAAAAGTGTAATAAAACCTGCAGGATGCTCTCTGGGCACTCTTTTGGTGTCCTTATCAGCAATAAATTACAAAAGAGGGGATAAAAGAGCGTGTTTTGCACTTGGGGGGGCACCTCCCTCCTACCTGAACTCTTAGTGGGGTGTCACGTTCAAAGGCCTTTAAGGCACTGAGCAGTGGGGTTGTACCTAGAGGGGGGCTGCACATTGGTACCCAGGGGCTGTGATGTGTATGGGGCCTGTGGGACATCCCAGTGCTGCTGTTGGACCCCGCATCAGGGATTGTCCTGCTCACTGCAGAGCTCAGGAGCCATCCCCGAGTGCTGCAGCCAGCACTATATCCCATGCTGTATACAGTGCATATATACACTGCCCTGTATATATATGAGAGTATATATACTCTGCTCCCTGGGTTCCTTCCTGCCTGGAGCTCTCATGGGGTTTGGTGTGCCCACGGGGTCCAGGCTTTGGGAGCCTGCAGTGATTTGTCAGTGGGGACACACACACACTCCTCACATGCTCTTGCCACATCTCCCTTCTGCTGCAAGTGGGTGGTTAACACGTTCTGAGACGGGAAGAGCCAGACCAGAGACCCGAAGAGTTGCGAATCCCTCCTTGGAACGCTCCCCATGGGGTTTAGATCCAGCAGCTTTTCACACCGCCTTGACAAGAGGCTTTCTCTGCCTGCGTTCGGGTGCGTCTCTGACCCGCTCAGTGGCGTTTTTCATAGCAATCTCTAACGAAGCTGATCGATTTGTAGTGGTTTCTTTAATGCTTATTTGTCCCAAGCCTCTTCTCTTTTCCCATCCTCCCCATGCAATCCAACCATCTGCCAGCTGGGTTTCCCTCCTATTCCTTTTTGCTTTCCAGTTTACCCAAGCTAATACAAGGAGCTCTCTTTCTTTTCCTCTTCCAAGATAACCAGTGGTAACCAGCGATGTAAATTCACCCACTGGAAATGGTGATGCTCTTTGCCATGGAAGCCGGCACCGTGGTCATCAGCTCCCTATGGACCTACAGAGGCAGCTCCATCCTTGTGACCTACATAGGGCCAGATGGGGCAGATAACAGCTCCCTCTCTCACTGTAACCAGAGCCTGATGGCAGAGGGGTTATAAAGAGGGTAAGAAGGCAGCAAGCCCACAGCGATGCTGCCCTGCTCCGGTTTCCAGCAGCCTGTGGCCTCTTGCAAAGCAAAACCCTTGCTTTTGCTACCAGGCACCAGCAACAGGAGCCTCCCTGGGCTCCTCCCCAGCACCCACAGCAGGAGGAATTCACCTCCTGGCACCTTGTGTGCTCACAGCTCCTTTATCAGGTGGTGGACTCGCTGGCGGCCTTAGTGCCAGGCGGATGCTGAGGGAGGGAGAGCAGCCTCAGCACAGTTAAACCTTTAGGAAATTACTCTGCAGAAACCTCTGCTGGTTCTGGCCTGCCCAGGTGTGCTTTTGCATTTACCTTCCCCTCGCTCAGACATGGGACAATGAGGCTCTGTAGGGAGCTGATGCTTTGTAGGGAGCTGATGCTTTGTGGGGATCTGATGCTTTGTGGGGATCTGATGCTTTGTAGGGATCTGATGCTTTGTAGGGAGCTGATGCTTTGTAGGGAGCTGATGCTTTGTAATGATCACTCAGAGTTCCTGAGGTGTTTTGCTTCCTT